TTGTTAGACGACAGCACTTAGTGTCTGTTTTTTTTTATATAGAAAAGGCCTATGATCGCTGCTGGCGTTACGGAATACTTCGTGATTTACATGAATTCGGACTGCGGGGTAATTTGCCAGTTTTTATAAAAAACTTCCTGCAGAATCGAAGATTCCAAGTTAGGATGGGCAACACACTATCTAGATCTTTTGTCCAAGAAGAAGGTGTTCCTCAAGGATGTATTTTGAGTGTGACTCTGTTCCTAATTAAAATTAACAGCATAGCTAACTGCCTTCCTCCCAGTGTGAAACACTCTTTGTATGTGGATGACTTTCAGATCTCCTGCCAGTCTACTAACATGAGTTTTATCGAGAGACAACTGCAAACCTCCCTAAATTGCATAGAAAATTGGTCCAAAATCAATGGTTTTAGTTTCAACTTAGAGAAGACCTCGTGCATTCACTTTTGCCGAACACGTGGTTTGCACCTGGATACTGAAATGTATTTAAATGGGGTTAAAATCCCAATTGTCAATGAGGCTAAGTTTTTGGGTGTTTATTTTGATAAAAAACTGACATTCTTGCCACACTTGTGCAACCTGAAGAGTAGATGTTTAAAATCTCTAAACCTTTTAAAAGTACTATGCTGCTCATCCTGGGGAGCAGACAAAGTTTCTATGCTCAGGATTTATAGGGCCCTGGTCTGCTCTAAGCTGGACTATGGATGCATTGTTTACGGCTATGCGCGAGAATCTACTCTTCGGATGCTGGATCCAATCCACCATCAAGCTTTGCGTTTGTGCACTAGTGCATTTCGAACTTCCCCTGTACAAAGTTTGTATGTGGATGCTTATGAGCCTCCATTATCTCTTAGGAGAGAACAGTTGTCTCTTTTTTATTATATAAAACAGAAATTTCATATTAAACCTTCAGTTGATTGTACAGTATCAGATACTCAGTTGAAAAGGTTATTTGAAGCTTGCCCAAGTAGTGTCCCTACATTCGTTGTAAGAATGGAGAATGTAAGCAGCACGATTGACCTGAATACAAGCAACATTTCACAGGCTCAGGTTGATAATATACCACCTTGGTCAACTCCTGAGATAAATGTTGACTTTAGCTTAAAGCAGTTTCCTAAGGAATCCACTCCAGACTATATCTACATACAGCACTTTGCAGAAATCCAACACAATGACAGGAATTTGATTCCTATTTATACTGACGGTTCTAAATCGGATGAATATGTTGGCTCAGCCTTTGTTTGTCAGGATGAAATTGTGGCAGAACAAATTGAATCGAATTCATCCATCTTTACTGCAGAGCTGCAGGCTATTTATCTAGCTTTAAATTATGTAATTAGAAAAGGTCATCGTGGTTGCGTGATTTACACTGACTCAGTTAGTTCTCTTCAGGCTTTGATTTCATGTGAACCTAGTTCCCACTCCATAGTGATTAAAATTCGTAAATTGTNTGTATCTTCTTCTTGGCCCTTAGCGCAGCCTCAATTGTGGACTTCCCCGGTCTAAAACCAAATTGATTAATGTTTTGCTGCTTTGGGTTATCATTTTTGGGGATAAGCTTTATATTTGCAATTTTCCAATTGTTTGGAAAATATTTCGCTATTAGGCATGCATTCAGGATATGGACAAAAGCGATAGGGATCTTCTTGAATGCTTCTTTGATCATCTCCGTTGTGATCTGGTCAGTTCCTGGCGCTTTATTATTTGCCATGCTTTTTATCGCCTTGGCTACCTCCTTAAACGTGAAGAGTCTGTCATTTGTAGCATTAATCGGGTCCTGTATATTATTCATAATGATCTTTTGATTCCTAGTATCATTTTCTTGGCTATCTTCAGGGAAGTGGTATTTCAAAATCTGTTTGACATTATCCTCTATGTTGGTATTGATATCTACGTCCTTTTCAGCTTCTGTAATATCAGGGAGATATGATGTTTTTTGCTTTTTTGTGATAATGTTGTATGGTAAGTCCCACGGCCCATTCTTATTGGAGTTTGTGCAAAACTTCTTCCATGAGTTAGTCCGAGTGTTGTTTATTAATTTTTTGTATTGGTTGAGGATGTCCTTATATTTATTCTTATAATTCTTTTCTTCACTAGTGTTCTTTTTCTTAATAAACTTTTTTTTCATTCTGTTTATTTCTCACTTCATTCGGTTCAGTGTGTCGTTTCACCAATGGGTTTTTCTTGGCGGAACCTTTTTGTATCTTAGTGCTTTCTCCCCTGCAGTTTTTAGCGCGTTAGTAAAGTAATTTGCGTACTCGTCGATATCCTCATGACTGTTGATTGGTGGAAAGTCGAACTGTTGCCAGATGTCTGCGAATTCCTGCCTGAAAGTTGTCCAATTGGTCTGTCTAGTTTGGAAATAGTTTGTCCTATGGTTCACAGTTGCGGTGTTGTCCTGTATTTGAGTTATAATATATCGATGGTCACTGGCCAAAGGGGAGAGAAGAGTTTCACAAATCTATGGGATAGGTTGCTCGAGACCAGGCAGATGTCGGTCCATCCTTTAGCGAACTGTGTGTAAAACGTAGGGTGGGTCGTCATATTCGTGCAGATAACGGATATGATGGAGGAATTCAATCTTATCACTCTGCCTCTACTATCTTTTTTCTCATGGTACCAAACCGGTGATTTACCGTTTAGATCCCCGATAATCATTATCTTTCTATTTTTTAATTTCCTTATTACACTAGATAAGTCCATGATGCACTCCTCATTATCCTCGTCCGGTGAGAAGTATACACAGATTAATATGATTGGTTCAGTCAACTGAACAATGGTGGTTGTTATTTTGTTACTACAAAGATGGGAGATTTTGGCTATGTCAATGTTAGAGTTGCATACAATTATGCCACTTTTCGGTCTCGTATTTGTATTGCCAGAAATCACTCTCCACCTTCCAAATCTTACAATTTTATTTTTTATATAATACGGTTTCTGTATCCCAATTATATCAACTTTTCTATCATTGGCAGTCTGGATAAGTTGTGAGCAAGCCACCTTGCTTTTCTGCATATTTATTTGTATGATGCTTATGATATTATTGTTCTGCTGTTGCTGTGTTATATTCGTTGACTGGGTATGTTGCCTTTCAGTATTACAAGCCATAGTCGGTCCTTTTAATTGCGGCTTTTTTTAATTTTTTGGTTATTGGGCAATTTTGATTTAATGCCCCATGATTTGTAGGTTGTTTTTTCGTGTTTGGTAGACCTCTGTTGCTGTGACAATTGACGCAGCATGGCGGCTCCTGGAGACTGTCGCATTCGGTGTATCTGTGATTTTTGCCACAGTGGGAACAGGCTTGGTCTTTTTCGCAATTTTTCGCTATATGCCCGATACCGCAGCAGCGGTAACACCTTATAATCGGTATATAATCGTCGACCTTTATAGTCGCCCAGTTTATTGATATGTGTTTCTCTCTGATGAGGATACTTTAAAGAAAGGGCGTAACCGATAGTATAATATGCCTACAGTTTTTGGCATGTCTTCCTCTTGCGAGTATCGTGTTTATCTTGCATTTGTTGTTGAATTGTTTTTTTTCAATGTTTCCCCAGATACTGTTTTGTTTATAAATGTAGGGTACTACATTCTTCTCTTGTATTGATTGAGATATGTTTAACATTATAACTCTGGATCTTCGCCTTTCTGATCTTATACATATGATTTTATTTTTAAGGCTTTGTACTTTTTTTATGGCTTTTTCGAGTGCCTCGCTCTGTTCCCTATCTCCAACCCTTATACAGATTCCATTTTCTTTTATTTCCTTTACGGCTTTTATTTTTATTTTTAATTTATGAGGCTCAATTTTTTTTTTTGAGCTCCTCCATGATTTTCTTTATGTCTGTCTGCGGTTTTCTCTTGTCTTGTTCTTTAGGGTACACCAGAACCGTATGAGCTTCCAGTTCCTTTGTTGTTTAACTTTGTTGGTATCTTTGTTTGTCTCAGTTAGGGAAGCCAAGATGGCTGCCCTTGTTGTTATCTTGGGTTGAGGAGTAGAGGAGGGCAAGATGGTTGCCTCCAAGCCCTTAGCAAAGATGGCTGCCTTGTTGTCTTCTCTAGACTTGATGTTGTAGAAGTCAAGATGGCTGGCTCCAGATGTTAGAGCCCAAGATGGCTGTCCATGTTGTCTTCTTCAGTCTTCAGGTTGAGGAAGGCAAGATGGAGGGTCGCAGAATGCAAACTTTTCAACTTAAAAGTTCGCAAAAAAGTTAGGCTTAGCACTTCTAAGCCCAACTCTCTAACTAAGCCTAACTTTGGATGGAATTTTAAACTTTAGCACTGTAACTGCCCTACTAAGCCTAATATTAGGCTTAATCCCTAGCACTGCAAAAAATTCTAAGTCAGGAGCTAAGAAAAACACGACTTACCTCTCTGAGAGCTAGACTCGAACTAGTCTGCTATAGACATGTTGTTGAAAGAGGTTAGAGGGCTGTCCACAAATAGCGGCGGACTTATGCCCTGTTTGAAGTAGGAAAGAAGGAATTAGGATAGGAAGAAAACATGGAAGAAGAAACAAAGTGAGATAGAATAGTGGGAAGAGGAGCAATCAGTGGGCCTCCATGGGACCCCACGGGCGTCTGCATCAAGTCATTTATTAAATTCAAACATACTTATATACAGAATGGCAATATTCATTTCTGCCAAAACAAAATTTGCCTGACAAGAAAAGACTATCTACCAAAATATAAAAACAAAGAAATTATAAATAAACATAAAATTTTTAAACCGGAAAAGAACAACTATATACATTTGATTATAGTTAATACCACATCTTGTGGTTAACAATTGAAGGTTGAGTTGAATAAAATAAGATGAAAATGAAGAAGGCCAACTGTTGAAAAGTCAAGTAGGAGTTATTTACCTCCTTAAACTAATATCGGCATAGAAAAGGTCTAAGTTGGACCTTACAGTAAGATGTGAAGACTTGTACACTAATGAAAAAAACACATTACTCGTCGTGAGTCATGAACCTATATACAAGTAACAAAATCCTGAATAATAATGAAAAGCCCCACCAGCTATGGTACCTCGATGATCAATCCTGCCCCAGTGATGATACCGCAGACCAGGTGCAGTATGGTGGCACCGACGGTATCGGGGCTTAATCTCAACAGTGGAGAAAGGAATCGATCATGGGTCACAGCAGGTGAGCAATTGAGCCAGAGGAAAGCACTTATGCTGCTGTAGCCCACAGGAGGGAAGATTCCAAAAACTGCTTTAGTTTCTAATAATCTTCACTGTCTTCACTTTCACTATTACTATCAATGTTATAATTCTGTGTGCTGTTGATGCTCTCATCGTTTCCCTCCTCATTTTATGTGTTTGTTGTTTATAAAAATCTGGAATAAGGGCTCTTGTCTTCCTAATGAAGCATTCTAAGCTTTCCCAAATATCCTTGTTATTAAAGATTTTGTTATGTGCTGGCCTCCAACCCAATCCGTTTTGTATACATTCTCTAAAAAATGGTTGTCTTTGTTGTTCGTATCTCCTACAGTCGAACATATAGTGGTCAGCATCACCTATACTTGTTCCATCACGTTGACACCTGTTGTCCTCTCTCTTCTTAAATCTGGTTAGATAAGCCTGGAAGCAGCCATGGTTGGTAAGTATTTGCGTTGTTTCGTAGTTTATTTTAAAATGTTTTTTACTAAGTCTGTCGCTAATTGCCCCTCGGTGTGGGTTTATGTTTGTGGTGAGGGGACCTCCCAGAGATGGTCTAGAAATTCCTCTTTACCATCCCTGGGATCTGAACGCCCACCCACGTGTTTGCCGTGCGTGGTGACCCATATGCTGGAAAGGGGGATCCTGGTAGTTGAGGGGCAACATAACGTCCCCAACACACTGCTTTGGCCCCTGCTTCGGATAAACAGGAGGCTCAAATCAGGCTTTGTTTGAGTCAATTGGCTGGTCGTTGAGTCATTTTTTGACCTAGGCCTGGAGTCAACTGATCAATGCAGACCGGGCGGACATGTCAGACAAGATGTGCTCTTCTCGACTGTATTGTGTCGGTATAGCTCCTTGGAAACCCTGATGTGACGGCATCCCCTTGTTGGGTCCCATGGTGGGTGGGGTAACTAGGAGCCGAATAATTAAACATTAATCATGGACCCAAAAAATCCCAAACATTTTGACAAAGCGACAATATCGACGACAAAAGAAAAGACCTCCAGCCAACCTGCTTACTTAATAGTGCACGTAACTGGAGAAAAACCCCTCGCTAAGTGTTCTCTTTTGTTGATTCAAAAGCTTTTTGAATCAACCATCGGGCATTTAAAAAAGATACAAAAATTGAGGTCAGGGGACCTACTAGTGGAAACAGCCTCTCCTTAACAAACAACAAAGCTTTCAACAATGAAGACTCTTGGAGACATGGGAATATTAGTCACACCACACAGAAGTTTGAACTCATCACGTGGTGTGATATCTGAGTTTGATTTGATGTCTGAAGACAAAGCAGACATTCAGATTGGCCTGTTGGACCAAGGTGTCACTTCTGTTTGACGCATTTCGATTCGTTGAGACGGTAAGTTGATACCCACAAAACATCTAATTCTCACTTTCGACAATCCAACATTGCCATCCTTCATTACAGCAGGATACTTGCGCTGCCCAGTTCGCCCTTATATTCCAAATCCGCTGCGATGTTTCAAATGCCAGCGATTTGGACACTCCCAGACCTCCTGCCGAGGCAAAAGCTTATGTGCACAGTGTGGAATTGAAGGTCACGACAGTACTGAATGTAAAAGTACTCCACACTGTGTGAACTGTAAAGATGCCCATCCTTCTTACTCCCGGAAATGCCCTGCATGGCAAAGAGAAAAGGAGATTCAACGGGTGAAAACTGTGAAAAATGTATCTTATCCAGAAGCCCGTCGCATGGTCACTCCAAGTGCACCATTGCAGCAAAAGACATTTGCTGCAGTTTTGAAATCTACTAAGACATGTGGGGTTCAAACAGATATTTCTGTTTCCCCAAGTGAATCTCTTACCCGCCATGCAAAGTGTTTATTGATCCCATCTGCACAAACAGAAGAAAAGGAGAACACAAAGGCCAAAATTTCTGTAACTAAAACCGGGATAACAACCAGAAATATGGGTTCTAAAAAAGCCAGTAAGAACCCACTTAACAAACAAAGAGTGAAAGCAGCCCTCTCTAAAGTCTCAAAAAAATCAGAAGCTCAATCTATGAGCGAGTTTTCTGACATATCTGACGAAGAGCCTAATATGGAGGTGACAAAACCAACGTCACCTCCAAAAGAAAAACCCCCTGTTAAATTAAAGAGGGATAACCTCGCTAAGAATGCTGCCTCAAACACATAATGGGTTATAAAATAAACCAATGGAACTGTCGTGGTTTTCGCAACAACTTCTCTGACATTAAACACTTGACATCATCTACCCAATCTTTCTGCGTGGCACTCCAGGAAACTTATTTAAAACCTGGAGAAAATATTTTTTTAAAAGGATTTGATCTATACCGCAAGGATGATGATAGCCACAATTGTGCCAGTGGAGGTGTGGCTATTCTGGTTTCAAATCGCATTCCATCCTCACCGGTACAAATAACCACTGATTTGCAAGCTGTGGCAGTGAGAATTTCTATTGGAGTAACTGTCACAGTTTGCTCTATATACTTGCCACCAGATGTCAGAGTCAATGACGATGAATTGGATGAATTAGTTGAACAGCTGCCAACACCATTCCTTTTACTTGGTGATTTTAATGGTCACAATCCTATGTGGGGCAGTCCTGACATCAATCGTCGAGGCAGCGCCATTGAGAGATTTATCGGCAATTAGGAAATATATTTATTTAATACTGGAGAAGTGACATACTTCCATGCCCCAACAAGAACATTCACTGCAATTGATCTTTCATTAGCGAGTCCAAACCTGTTTTCAGCATTTTCATGGGAGGTTGGATCTAATCCACTCTCTAGTGACCACTTCCCAATATTTCTAAAATACCAAGGCAGAGAAAGCTGTGAAACAGCCCGTCCACCACGCTGGAAACTGGAAACTGCAGATTGGCCTGCATTCTCCTCTTTGGCTAACATCACTGAGGAAATGGTCAATACTGCAGATATCAATGATGCAGTTGAGGTTGTCACTTCCAGTATCATTCAGGCAGCCGAAAAAACAATGGGGAAAACATCAACTAGATATCCAAAACATCCTAAACCATGGTGGAACCAGAATTGCGAGGCAGCATTTAAAGCACAAAAGAAAGCATGGGGGATTTTCAGAAGATACCCCACTGCTAGAAATTTGATTGCTTTTAAAAAAGCAAAGGCAAATGCCAGAAGAATAAGAAGGCAAAGCCAAAGGGATTCTTGGAGGAAGTATGTTTCTAGCATAACATCTTCCACTAGCTCAAAAGCAGTCTGGGATAAAATCCACAAAATTAATGGGAAATATGCTTCTCACTCTCTGTCCATGCTGGAAAATAATGGCACAATAATAAGCGATATACAGGGTATTGCTGATACGTTGGGTGAAACGTTTTCTACTTCATCCAGCAATATTATGTATTCAAAGGATTTCCAAGCTTACAAAGTGCAAAAGGAAAAGCAACATTTAAACTTCCACTCCTCATCTAATGAGGAATATAATGTGCCATTCACTAGAATCGAATTACAAACTGTGATTTCTCGTGCAAAAAATAGTGCTGTAGGCCCGGATAAAATCCACTACAGCATGATTAAAAATCTTTCGAACAATTCTCTTTGTAATCTCCTGCATCTGTTTAACAGAATATGGACAGAAAATACTTTTCCTGACTCTTGGAGACTATCAATTATTATCCCTATTCCAAAACTTGGTAAAGACCACAAGAATCCCTCTAATTATAGACCAATCTCTCTGACAAGTTGCCTGTGTAAACTCTTTGAGAGGATGGTAAACAGACGACTGATGTTCCTCCTAGAGGAAAAGAACTATTTTTCACCACATCAGAGTGGATTTCGTAGGAACAGAAGTACCACGGACAATTTAGTAAAACTTGAAACATCTATACGCGAAGCGTTTGTTAGACGACAGCACTTAGTGTCTGTTTTCTTTGATATAGAAAAAGCCTACGATCGCTGCTGGCGTTACGGAATACTTCGTGATTTACATGAATTCGGATTGCGGGGTAATTTGCCAGTTTTTATAAAAAACTTTCTGCAGAATCGAAGATTCCAAGTTAGGATGGGCAACACACTATCTAGGTCTTTCGTCCAAGAAGAAGGTGTTCCTCAAGGATGTATTTTGAGTGTGACTCTGTTCCTAATTAAAATTAATAGCATAGCTAACTGCCTTCCGCCCAGTGTGAAACACTCTTTGTATGTGGATGACTTTCAGATCTCCTGCCAGTCTAGCAACATGAGTTTCATTGAGAGACAACTGCAAACCTCCCTAAATCGCATAGAAAATTGGTCCAAGATCAATGGTTTTAGTTTCAACATAGAGAAGACATCGTGCATCCACTTTTGCCGAAGGCGTGGTTTGCACCTGGATCCCGAAATGTATTTAAATGGGGTTAAAATTCCAATTGTGAATGAGACTAAGTTTTTGGGTGTTTGTTTTGACAAAAAACTGACATTCTTGCCACACTTGCGCAACCTGAAGAGTAGATGTTTAAAATCTCTAAACCTTTTAAAGGTATTATGCTGCTCATCCTGGGGAGCAGACAAAGTTTCTATGCTCAGGATTTATAGGGCCCTCGTTCGCTCTAAGCTGGACTACGGATGCATTGTTTATGGGTCTGCGCGAGAATCTACTCTTCGGATACTGGATCCAATTCACCATCAAGCTTTGCGTTTGTGCACTGGTGCATTTCGAACTTCCCCTGTAGAAAGTTTATATGTGGATGCCTATGAGCCTCCACTATGTCTTAGGGGAGAACAGTTGTCTCTTTCTTATTATATAAAACAGAAATCTTATACTAAACCTTCAGTTGATTGTACAGTATCAGATACTCAGTTGAAAAGGTTATTTGAAGCTCGCCAAAGTAGTGTCCCTACATTCAGCATAAGAATGGAGAATGTAAGAAGCGCGATTGACCTTAACACAAGCAACATTTCACAGGTTGAAGTTAATAGTATTCAACCTTGGTCAACCCCTGAGATAAATGTTGACTTTAGCTTAAAGCAGTTTCCTAAGGAATCCACTCCAGACTATATCTACATACAGCACTTTGCAGAAATTCAANACAGGTTGAAGTTAATAGTATTCAACCTTGGTCAACCCCTGAGATAAATGTTGACTTTAGCTTAAAGCAGTTTCCTAAGGAATCCACTCCAGACTACATCTACATACAGCACTTTGCAGAAATTCAACACCAAGACAAGAATTTAATTCCTATTTATACTGACGGTTCTAAATCGGATGAATATGTTGGTTCAGCCTTAGTTTGCCAGGATGAAATCTTGGCAGAACAAATTGAATTGAATTCATCTATCTTTACTGCAGAGCTGCACGCTATCTATCTAGCTTTAAAGTATGTAATCAGAAAAGGTCATCGTTGTTGCGTTATTTACACTGACTCAGTTAGTTCCCTTCAGGCTTTAATTTCATGTGAACCTAGTTCTCACTCCATAGTGATTAAAATTCGAAAACTGTTTTGCCATCTTCTTGCAAGGAATTTCTTTATAAAATTTTGCTGGGTCCCAGGCCATGTAGGTATAAGAGGAAATGAAGAAGCTGATGCAGCTGCAAAGTCAGCTAGTCCTTCACAGCATACAATGTGTATTGAAGGAGGCGATTTGAAGCTAGTCATTAAGAAACGACTAGTGGCAAGATGGCAAAATATGTGGAATGCACAAATCCACAATAAACTACATGAGATCAAACCTATGATAGAAAATTGGACACATAAGAAACCTTACGACAGGAGATCTGAGGTTATTTTTACTCGTCTGAGGATTGGACATACTCGGTTGACTCATCAATACCTTTTGAAGGGTGAAGAGCAACCAGTATGCCAGTATTGCAACTGCTTACTAAGTGTTAAACACATACTGCTCAACTGCTCTGCCTTTGAGATCAGTCGTAGACAGCATTTTGGAAATGCAACTTTCAAAGATATTCTGGGCCAGAGACCAAATCATTATAATGTATTGGACTTTTTAAAAGTCATTAATTTGTATAAAGAAATTTAATTAATCAATTATTTATTTATATATTTATTTCATTTTTGCATGTTGTTTTTCGTTTGTACTTAATATGTGTATATTTATTTTCGTTGTTGTTGTTTATTTATTTATTTATTATGCTTAAAATTTTTTTTTAACTATTTGCCTTGGCGCAGCATGGCCTATACGGCTCTTGTGCCAAAAAACAAAAACCAACCAATTAACCAACCGTTTTGTTATCTTCTTGCAAGGAATTTCTCTATAAAATTTTGTTGGGTCCCAGGCCATGTAGGTATAAAAGGAAATGAAGTAACTGATGCAGCTGCAAAGTCAGCTAGCCCTTCACAGCATACAATGCATATTGAAGGAGGTGATTTGAAGCTAGTCGTTAAGAAACGACTAGCGGCGAGATGGCAAAATATTTGGAATGCACAAGTCCACAATAAACTACATGAGATCAAACCTATGATAGAAAATTGGACACATAATAAATATTTTGACAGGAGGTCTGAGGTTATTTTTACTTGTCTGAGGATTGGATATACTCGGTAGACTCATCAATACTTTTTGAAGGATGAAGAGCAACCAGTATGCCAGTATTGCAACTGCTCTCTAAGTGTTAAACAGATACTGCTTGATTGCTCTGCCTTTGAGAGCAGTTGTAGACAGCATTTTGGAAATGCAAGTTTCAAAGAGATTTGGGCCAGAGACCAAATCATTATAATGTATTGGACTTTTTAAAAGTCATTAATTTGTAGAAAGAAATTTAATTAATTATCTTTTTATATATTTATTTTATTTTTGCGTGTTGTTGTCTTTTTGTACTTACTATGTGTATATTTATTTTTGTTGTTGTTATTTATTTATTTAGTTATTATTGTCATATGTTAGTTATTTATCATGTTTAAAATTTTTAACCATTAGCCCTGGCGCAGCATAGCGTATACGGCTCTTGTGCCAAAAAACAAAAACTAACCAACCAACCAATTTTTGTAGAGTCTTTATATGAGTCAAGAATAGATGTGGTAAGATGTTAAGCCAGTTCTTCTCCTTCTGTAATGTTGTAGAGCTGCTTATTATTAGAATGTACCCAATTATATTTAAAAAGTTTCTGGAAATGACCCGAATTAGTAATGCGTATTGTATTGTGAACATCCTCAGAAGCTGTCCTATTGTATTTTATTACTGTCTTGATGTATCTGTGATT